TTATGCATAAAAGGGGATCTCAGTATCGGTGCTTGTGACATGATTGTGATCCATGTGTCAGTTTTTTGGGCTTGCATGGCTGCGTTTAGACTCTACGAAGCGTTACAGGGCAAGTCAAAGAATTCTTCAAAGAAATAAGTACATGATTTAAGTAACGTGGTAATTCTGTCTTTGTGCACGATAAATTAGAACATTATAATGTATTCACGAAGTGACTACAGCAGGAATCCCAGATATCTCGTCGCGGTTTACTACTTACTTATTGTTCCCAATATGTGCTGAGGGTTTACTGTTACAGATGGACAGGCGAGTTGCATAGACTGTTGAACAAGGGACTGTGGCAGATAGCAAAGCTTGCATGATGGTGACACGGCATACAGACTGAAAAGCATTGGTTCTGGAATCACCACAAATTTTTAAGACAGTGGCATTAAAAATACATCTTCAAAACAAACTTAAATAGAATTTCTGCTTCACTGATTAATATTTTTGTAACTGGATGCACATGCAAAAGGCATATTTAAGGAATGAGTTGTAAGTGAAATGACAAATCTAATGAAAAATACCAATGGAACAAATCGTACACCTGAGGATATAAACATTTCAATATATCGTACTCATAATTGGCAAACTTGTTCAAGCTGGACACTAAAGTGCGGCTGTTTCAAAGTCTTCATCAAAATAGATATTCCTAATGTGTATTTATAGCGGAACTTAGTAACTGGATTAGCATCTTGCTTGAAGACTGCCCACCTGAACTGGATACAGTCTAGTTGTCAATTTTCAGTTGTAGGACAGACCCAATTTCCTTTTTGCTTTAGACATTGCTTCCATATTCCTTGAGGGTCCACGAAGGTTCGGACACATCGGACACTTATCTCACCTACTTCACCGTTGAATACCACAAGCTCGTTACCTAACCAACTAATTTTGTAATCGCCCTAAACCTCCTAAACAGTCAATTGTGGGCGTTTATAACAGCAAATACTTGAATATCATCTTCATTCCTTACGGTCGTGTGAAGCTAGATTTTGGACACGTAAGATGGTTTACCAGTTCGCTAAAGTTTCTCACTGGTGTCTGTAGGGGAAAACAACCTATCCCCTTACTGATCTCGTACATCAACGAGGATGAAGCTGTGCTAATCACAGATGGTAAAGTGCTATTTCTAAATTAATCATTTCGTAGATCATGCGCCTCCTCCCATCGAAGGGGTGACAAGTTGCATGATAAGTAGGCAAAACAATCAGTTTCGCTAATTCATGAATCACCGCCCTTAACCATTTCATAAGGGTTGAAATCAACATGAAGTAGGAGAACACGTACAAAGTCCTTGTTTTACCACATCCTAGTGTTGCATTACTTTGATTACACTCCACTACATTTTGGACAGCGCCTGTTCTACCGTGCGTGGGTTCTTCTTTGAAATATCAAATTACAGACTTCCCACCAATCAGGCAGTTAAGAAGCGGGAAATTCTGGGGAAACATCCAGATCAACTTGAAAATTTTGATTCGGTTCAAAGGATAAATCAGACCTTAGGACATATACTGCAATCTAGTCCGCCACGATTACCCATTTATTCCAAATTCTGACAATGACTTAGATAGCTTTGGGGCTTCAACACTTGTCAGTGTGGCTGAACCGCCCTAGAAGGGGATTCTTCACTTCTCTGTTGATGCTGAAATGCTGACTTTTGGAGGCATCCATCACTTGGATATTCGGTTTGCTTCCGTAGTAGAGTGATGCACCCAGGTTGCATTACCTACTTTGATACAATTGAGGATATCCTGGCTCTTTTAGTCAAGACGCCCCCACATTATCCAGCTTTGCCTTATTTTGTGTCCACTTTTCTCGCAGGAAGGTTAGCCTCCAAACTTTATGGCAGGTTAGATGTTAGTCAGAGAATTCCACAATCAGGCAGACGTTCTACGCGTCACCGACAGATGTACATCCGCTTATGTCATGTTAGTAGCTGCAAATATTTTTCTACAGCTTAGATTCCCATAACGGTAATGCACTAATGGGTTCCCATGAGTCTTGTATCCTAGACCACAGCACACTGTTGCATTCCCGCATGCACTGCCCTCGTTGTTTGCTGTCTTGATCAACAGTATCCCGACCCGAAGTGACTTAACACCCGTGCGTGCTAGAAATCGGTAATTGGAAAGACCTGTCTTCCCACTCCAAGTGGACAAGGTGGAATTCTTGTCAACATCGGTCAAGTCAAAAGTTCCTCCATCGTAATAACCGTATAATAAATTACCTGAAAACCAAATTTTTAATAAATCGGTCAAGTTTTTTGCTACAGCTTGCTCTGTTACATCTGCCAAGAAAACCACAAAAATGCACCCTTGTGTTTGCAACGTGTCACAATGTAAAAGTTTACATAAAAGAGGACGTAAGGGATGATGCATTCATTTGTGTTGAAAACAGAACGTATCGGAGAGAAAAGTGGACGCAACGTTACTGCCCGTAGAACTTTGACCACTTTATTATAACGAAACCAAATGGTGACAGAAGTAACGAAGTGCATTAATGATTTAAACGAGATCGTTCCATCTACGGCATTAAAATAGAATGCGGAGACCAAATTGAACAAATTGTTGAAATAGTTGCTCCCATCTGCAATGATGTTTAAATGCGGAAGTAGAATCAGACGGAATTTTGACCAGTTTAAAGGTTCCTCTGCTTACAAAATGATGGACAAGAACTAACTGCCTGGAAAGCAGGGCTTAAACCAGACTGCTGACCTCCGACCTACCACTCGATCGATGACTACTTCCAAGTTAAGCAGCTGATGTCATTTGAATTAGTCAGCAAACTGGCGTTTTGCATTTGTGGGCTAAGGGATATGAGATTGCCGCACAACTGGATACTACTTCTCTGCATCCTTCTTGTCATTAGTTTCATCTACGTAGTCTTTTACGATTTCCTACCACTTCACAGGAGCCACATGGATCGCGACACCCACACAGGTTGGTGCTCTTCTCCACTTGCAGCAGATGGATTCTGAATAATTACAAATTAATCCAACCCTTTGCTTAGAGTTGATTACCACCGATCAAACAATACCAGAAGGATTTATAAACATCCACCTGCAGGCTTATCTGTCTGATCGACTGCCCATACTGCTGACCCAGTCAGGCCACAGCAACCAGTTCTGGTTACTTGGAGCTCGGAACGCTACCCTCACATACAGCTGGGAGTACCACGCATCATCCGATGGCAGTGATCTTTCCTTCATGCATATTTATTTAAGTGTTGAAAACATCCAGCTATTCGGTGCTGTAAACGCCAGCTTCTTGTCACCATTCTTACTCATCATTCACCCATCTTCCATTGAAGTGACTATCCAATTCTTACCTCCTTCGCCACATCCTCTCCATTCAAGCAAGAGGCAGCTGTTTGAAATGAAGGAGCTGCTAATCTCACGCTGGAATGGGTTAAGTCTGAAACCGTTGGATGGGAAGACTTGGGGTCCACTTCAGCGTGTCATTTTCAAGGTTGTGCAGATTCTGTCAAGCAACTTTCTGTTGAAGTGGTGGCTACAACGAGCATTGGCGGCACAAATTGCAGAGTTTCTTGAAGACCGAAATCTTCAGTGCTCTGCAACACAGGCTTTTTCTCCTGATCTTTGTGATTATTCATGATCATTAAAAGGGGCTGTAGTATGCACTTGTTTTGCAGTGTTCTTCCAAAGCATCCTGTGGAAGCAGCAAACTGTAATTTCGCTTAAGAAGTAGAAAAGTTTCTGGGTTGCAAAGAACTTAGTTAAGTGCAAAGCACCTATAGTACTTGTACTGGTAAAATGATCCAGCTACAAATAGCCTGAACTACTTACAACACTTGACCACTTCTATAAATAAATTCCTTATATCACTATTTGTGATACAAGAGGTTAACCCAGGCGGGGAATCTTTTAGATCCCTAGTAATTCTGCTGTCTTGAAGCATAAGTCAACCTTTGCGGTGAACTAGATATGCTGTCATGTGAGCCTGGGTTCATTCGAGGTCCACCTAGACAAGACTTCAGCACAGATACCTTCATTGTTCACATGGCTGACCTTGACTCTACATTGATTACTTAGGGCACTTAAGTTACGACTGTACGTTGATTCTGCTGGAAAATCAAACCTCCCTATACATGGCAAAGTGCAACAATGCTTTTAAATTGCTGCAAATGTGGTTGTTATGGGGGGACTTAGGCGTAAGGTCTTTCGCTAGTCAGACATGTCTCATTTACGTGAAGCTAAATGCAGCAAATGACAGGTTTGACAACCAAACTGGTTCTCATTTCAAGGCACTTTAACAACATAGCGCTTATTATTATGGCATAGCAAAGTGCTCATCTTGGAGTGGAAGTGCTATCGGCACTGCTTGCGTACGTACGCCCTGAAGGTGAGGAACAAGAGATGCGTAATGGTGTCAGCATTCGTGGTGGCGTTAAGATTGAAGAAAATATGGACGCGTTCGTCGGTCAAAGTCGCCCAATGGTGCAGCTTTTGGCAAAGGAGAAGAATTCAATAAATCTACCCCGGTCTTCCATTCATTCACCCCTGATCTTCTCATTACCTCAATATTCCATACGTTTAATCCAGGTGCATTCACTCCTTCCCCACTCACTCAACTCATCTACACAAAATCCATCCTTTCCTTCATCTACTTCTCCAACCTCATCCTCAGAGCTCTATAATTAACCCAAACCAGACACTAACTTCACTCCAATATGCACCGAGAAATGACAAGCGTAGCAAATGCAGGATCACACTTGAGCTTCATTGACAAATCCGAAATGTGATGGTGAATTTTCCCTAAGATCCTTGCAGTAAAAGTGATACCGACATAACAATTAACACTTCACCCATCCATCTCTCCAATCCTACCTCGCACCGGTAATTCAAAGCCATCCGTCTTGCATCCCACCTCACTTTCAAAGGCTTCTGAAACGCCTCATCTTCACCATTGCTCACGCACATGGAGTAGAGTAAAGTTTAAAGATCAGGTGGGGAGTTTTGCTTGTTCCACTGCGGCCTCACCAATCGGTGCAGGGGTCGCGGCTGCGTACCAACGCTCAAAGGCGGTTCGGGCAGTAGAGATGACATTGCCGTGACCAATGCCACCAAGGACGGAGATGATGATGGAACGACAGAGGAGGTGGTCGTTGCTGAAGTCCGTGGAGGCGGGCTCGAAAGCTGACGTTGGAAGAGGAGAAAGGAGAGGGTGGTTTAGAGGCAGAAGAAGTAGTTGCACACACATCCATCAATCCATATTTAATCAACAAATTCACTCGGTCAACTCGATTCTTCTTCTACCATGAATATGCCAATCTACCTTCCTAGGCGTTCACCCCTTCATCCAGATTCATGCATCAAGCAGACTGCTTTCAAGCCCCTATCCGCCCTCCACCCATCGAATACAACACACCCAATAATTTACAATCAGCCACTTTCATTAGCTTGTCTCCATTAACTAATTTTTACTACAAACAACTATCCATCCTTCCATTTACCCATCGTTTTACAAGAGCAAAGGAGAAATAGTTGAGAAGTTGGAAAACTTCCAGGCTGAATTTTACCACCAATCGGTCTGCAAGTCCTTTTGTTAGGGGACCAATCAACCATGAAACAAAGAATGACAACAAATGTTGCAAGTTTTCGACCCATGAGGCAATTTTATTGAGCACAGAGGAGGAAATTTGAGGTCCTCTGTTCAAACACGTAGCCTGCATATTTATTTCTGCATCTACAAGGAGTAAATATGCAAGTGCACCGGATGCGATGGTGCATTGCGATTGTGATGGAGAAGGTGGAGACTAACACCGTGCTCCCCACACAGGACATATTAACCCAACTGAGTAGATGATGGACAAGTAGCCACTATGGACTCAACAATATTTACGGACAAAATTAAGTCACCTCGTCACCTGTCACCTTAAAAGAACACATGAACTGCACTTCACTTATGAGTCCACGCCAGCAAATAAGCAACACAGCAACCAAATTGCGAGGCAAAGTTTGTCAAGAAACGCCGATTCTGTCTGCATGTTGGAGAAAATGGGCAAATAGCCGGAAGTTCAATGGTGTGTATGGCCATTATCTGCAGCTAGATCCTTAAAAGCCATTTGTTTATGCCGAAAAATACGCCACCAAGTTTAAATCGCGCTATTTCCTGTTGCTTAAACATTAAGCAGAAGTTAGTTTAATCCATCTCAATCGACCACAATGCTATAATCTCATGTCCGCTTGTCTAGGTGCTGTGGCAGCCATCATATATGGTCCAACAATGATGCCAATGAGACGATTCGAAAAAGTAACTGATGAACTTACAAGTGCGGTTTTCGGCAGAGCCCACTACAATGCTTTGCCTTAAGTTTCAGGGACTTGTGAAATGCGGGCATTGTTCATATACGTGCTATAAAGCATGGAAATCTGTTGGTTCATTAGCAATGCGCCGTTTATTGGACTGTCCACTACTACTCACCATGCCTGAACCCACATAAAGCGTCGGTTGACGAGACCTATTGCAATTGCAGCACATCCGGTTTCCACATTCTAGTCTGGCTTCCAATTTCTAGCAAAAATGACCTTTGCACTCCACCACTGAGCAAATATTATTGCTCTGTGTGCTATAAAGTCAGAGAACCGACCGTTCACCTGATGCAGGACAAATAGCAATTACGACTGGGTTTCACCCACTCGAAGCCACTGACCGCGCAGCAGCAACGCTACACACAAGAAAATGTCTTCAACCACCAATTTTACAAACAGTCGTTCCAATGCAGCATCCCAAATTTAGCGAGCACTGCAAAGGCAATGGGAACTAATCTCAATTTCAATGTCTGACCCAATGAAGAACCCCATACTAGCCCTCCATAATCCACTCAGGTAAACTCCACCACATGTGCTTCTACCTAAGAACCAGATTGGAGGCAGTCAAGCCAGAAAGGCAGTGGTAGGAATGGCGATCTAGTCTAGCCTGTGTGGAATGAACTTCACAACCAAAACTGACGAAGCATTTAAAGGGCGGATTCAGGAAGACAGCTGTTTACAATTCTGACTGCGCCTCCACAGTCATCATACTTCCGTCTCCATCGATTCATTCGTCGATGTTAAAGACATGTTTCAAGAATTCTTCATGTAGGACCTCTTAACAAGTAGGATGACGGCATGTTTATTGGGGTCACTACACTTACTTTACCGTCAAACTCGAAATGAAATATTCACGCATTAAAGGCTAAAGACGTATTTCATGAGGTGATGACAAATAACCTCTCGTATAGCATCAAAGCTAATACGAAACAGGTAACAGGTTATAAAGGACCGAAGCACAGCAGCATAAAGATCCAAGTTCTCGATGAAGCTAGCGAAAGGTACAACTAGA